AAGATATTATCTTTGACTGCTAGTAGTGCTTCTTTTACTTGTCTGAATAGTGATAATATTCCAACTGTTTCTTCATCGAGTTTTTTTGCTAAACAGATTGCTGCTATAAGATCTATATCATCTGGTTTTTTTTCTTTAGCTTCTTGTAAAGATCTGTTCAAGAACACACAGTTGATATGTTTTAGTCTTGGCTCTGCTCAACGTGTTTTTTTTTCTATTCTTTTTTGTTTTCTTTTTTTCAAATTTTATTTTTGTTTTCTTTTTATTTTAAGTTTTTTTTTTTAAAAAAATTTTATCTAATTTATAATACTTTTAATAAATTTATAATAATATATTAAAATTATTCAGAATTCAAATATTATATTTGTTCAAATATTATTAGTAATTGATTATCTATTATAAATCAATTTATTGTAATTAATTAACAATTGATTAAAATAAGCAATTTGACTTGAATATGGCTATTAAATTTATATCAAATATTATTAATAAGTAGTTGTTAATTATTAGTAATTAGATATTAATTATAAGTCAATTTATTGTAATTAATCGACTACTGAATAAAATAACTGATTCGATTTGAATTTAACTATCGAATTTATATTAATTTTATTCTGAATATTATTAGTATTCAGTTATTAATTATAAATTAATTTTATTATATCAATCAGTTATTGATTAAAATTTTTGATCTGAATTTAGCTGCTGATTTTTTTTTAGTATTCAACTATTTATTAGCTACCAACTTACTCTATTATTTGATATAATACTAGTTAAATATTCAATAGTTGAATTCAGGTCAAATTAGTCATTTCATTTGGTAGTTGAATTTCTTATATTTAATTAATGATAAATAACTATTATATTTATGATTTTAATAAAAATTAACTCAAATATTTAAATATTCATCAAATAAAATTGAATATTTTGTCAATTTGAATTTAATTTAATTTGAAATTTTTGTATTTGAATTTGATTTGATATCAAATATTTAATCAAATCAAATCAAATCAAATTATAGAAATCTACTTGAGTAAGAGATTATTTAATAACTATAGATACAAAATATCTTGTTTCTTATATTACAGTAGTTCTTGAAAAAATTAATGTTTTTTTTTGATTCTGTGCTAATGATTTTAAATAATTATTAGTTTTACTAGCACAATTTAATTTTACTAGCAATTCTAATTAGTATTATTTATTTATTATAAACTGCCTTAACCCAAAACTTATATAAACTGGTTTAAAAACCAGTTCGAACCATGGTTTTTTGCCAAACCATAATATTTCTAATATAGTATAGGCCGACTTTTGTTATATTGGCATTTAGAGTTAGTAATTATAGCTGATTAGTAGCCTATCGCTATACTGTTATAGTTTCAGAGGATTTCGTGTGTAGTCACATGAATCATATGACTCTGCGATCGATGACAAAACTCTGGAAAGTTGGATATGTAAAGCAAAAAAAAGAAGGAAATACGTTATGTATGATGATAACAATAACGATAACGTAATTAATAGTAGCGGGTAGTGCTTGGTTCAAAGACATTCTCTCGAGCAAAAAAAAATAAGTAAATATTGAACTCCAAAAAAAAATATATATTATACGATTTTTGACCAATCAAATCTCAAGATTCTACTAATCGTTTTGATTGGTCAAAATTGTAAAAAATTTTTTTTCGGAGTTTCTTTTTTGCTCTCGATCACTAATTTATAATTTCCTTAATTTATAAATAAAAAAGATAATGTGGTTATTTAATTATCCGTTTTTTTTTTAATCCGGTTATACGTATATATATTGCTTATATTAACTTTTGATGTATTTTACGTAGTATGAAATTTAGGTTAATAAAATTAATAATACATGATCGAACATCACATAAAACTGTTTTATAAATTAAGTTTATATTAATATCTAAACTTGCATCACAGCGATAACAACGATAATCTTAGATTTACATGTTTTTTCACGTGTTGTTTCTTTTCATTTTATACGTACGTACGTACGTACGTATATATCAGATATATATCAAAAAAATTATTAATACGTACCTATATGAGTGCATGAGAGTGAAAAACCTCTGTAACCAATCATGGTAAATTATTAAATCTATTTCCAGGTTTTCACTCTCACGCTCTCATATATCAGATATACTATATATTTACATATTTTATTATTACTATCATAACTACAGTATTTTCATTACTATCATGTGTGATCATCTAATCACGTTCTTCTCAATTTAACTTCCAATTAGCGTTAGATCCTAACCCATTACCAGACTATCAATACGGCAAAAAAACGGGTATTTTTTTCACTTGATTAAATGTCGTAAAATAGTAATCATAAAAAAATCGTAAAATCATTAATACAATTTGATAAATACAATTGAATAAATTTCACTTATCGTTATACATTTACGTACGATATTACGGATTAATATTCTATTTGTCCTGTAATATTTAAAGTTTTGATTTTTTTTTTTTATCTTTACACTTTTTGTTACATTTTTTTTTTTATACGGTATACAGTAATAGTAAGAAATTTATAAATGTGTGTATGTGAAAAAAAAAATAAAAATATGTATAATCAAGAAAAATAATAATAATAGTAATAATAACAAAATGATATAAAGTCTGTTGTCTATACTGTACAACAAAAAAAGAACTTGAGAAAAATTGAGAAAAAAAATTGAGAGATAGGGAGAATGATAAAACAAAACGATGTTTTGTTTTTGCTTTTGTTTTTTTTTTTTTTTAAAGAAATATACAATTCTATCTATTTGTACAATAAAAAAAACATTCTAAATGAAGAGCAAAATGCTAAAATTAGTACAATGAATTTTTTATGTGAAAAAAATGTAGTTGTTTATACAAATGGATTTATGATTTTTTTTTTTTTGAACGAACTCAAAGCTGTATGAATGGAATTCATCTCTGAACTTTCCTCTACTTATGAAATATAGCCAATATAACCAATATAGCCGATTCAGTAGAGAATGAAAGTGTGAATGAGAAATTCCTGAAACATCAAAGTAACGTAAAGTGAAAGTGGTCGTTCATCAATCGGATGGATGAAAATTGAGAGTAACAGTATCCTCATGGAACCGATCGAGACCAAATGTATCAACAGTACATTACTGACGTTCATTAAATTATATATACATAAAGGTGATTCGTAGGAAAATCGACTTGCTATTGGATACAACAGCATATCGTAGATATCGAAGGACGGTTATTATTCAAATCATTCTGATTTGATATATTGTCTGTAGAGGTATATGTAGAAGCGTAAACTGTATTTGAAAGTGATTGATTATTTCGGGAAAACCTTTGCCAATTCGTATTTCTTTGAGTATCATGACGAGAATTTAATGGAGAATCAGAAGCACCTGTTGTACTAAGAATATCTACTTCAGATCCATCAGGTAAATTTGGCATTTGAAGTAAATAAGAAGCATTTCCAGGTAATTGATGATTTGTGGTCCTAGCCGGTGGAACTGCAGAAATTGGAGAAGTTTTACGACTATCGAATGAAACTATAATTTAAATAGACACGTGTATTTTATAAGAATCAATACTAGATTTTAGTGAATACTAGAACTATTGTGTTTTAATGAATGGATATAATTACCTGAATTCTTGTTACTTAATGAAGGAGTACTACCATTATCTTTACGTTCTTGCCATATTTTTTTATTTTGTTCGAGAAATGGTACACAAAATTTCATTTCTATAATGCAAA